TATAATATCATGTCATCTGCAAATAATGACAGTTTCACTTCCTCCTTTCCAATTTGGATCCCTTTTATTTTTTCTTAATGTGTGATTGCTGTGGCTAAGACTTCCAGTACAATGTTAAATAACAGTGGCGAAAGTGGACATCCCTGTCTTGTTCCTGTTCTTAATGGAAATGTTTTTAGTTTCTGTCCATTGAGTATGATGTTGGCTGTAGGTCTTTCATATATGGCCTTTATTATGTCGAGATATGATCCCTCTATTCCTACATTGCTGAGCGTTTTTATCAGAAATGAATGCTGGATTTTGTCGAATGCTTTTTCAGCATCTATTGATATGATCATGTGGTTTTTATTCTTCATTTTGTTTATGTGGTGTATCACATTTATTGATTTGCGAATATTGTACCAGCCTTGCATCCCTGGGATGAATCCCACTTGGTCATGGTGAATACTTTTTTTGATGTGTTGCTGGATCCGATTTGCTAGTATTTTGTTTAGGATTTTGGCGTCTATGTTCATGAGGGATATTGGCCTGTAGTTTTCTTTCTTCGTAGTGTCTTTTTCTGGTTTTGGAATTAGAATTATGCTGGCCTCATAGAACGTGTTTAGAAGTCTTCCTTCTTCTTGAATTTTTTGAAATAGTTTGAGGAGAATGGGTGTTAGTTCTTTTTTGAATGTTCGGTAAAACTCCCCCGTGAAGCCATCTGGGCCTGGGCTTTTGTTTGCTGGGAGAGTCTTGATTACCTCTTCAATTTCCTTAGTTGTTATTGGTCTGTTCAAGTTTTCTATCTCTTCCGGGAATAGTTTTGGGAGACTGTGTGTTTTTAGAAATTTGTCCATTTCTCTTAGATTGTCGAATTTGTTGCCATATAGTTGTTCATAGTAGTTGTTAATGATCTTTTGTATTTCCGTGGTGTTGGTTGTTACTTCTCCTCTTTCATTTCTGATTTTGTGTATTTGGGTTCTCTCTCTTTGTTTCTTGGAGAGTCGAGCTAAGGGTCCATCAATCTTGTTTATCTTTTCGAAAAACCATCTTTTTGTTTCATTGATCCTTTGAATTGTTTTTTTGGTCTCTATGTCATTTATTTCTGCTCTGATCTTTACTATTTCCTTCCTTGTACTTGCTCTGGGGTTTTCTTTTTGTTTGCTTTCCAATTCTTTATGTTGTGAGGTTAGACAGTCAATTAGAAATTTTTCTTGTTTTCTGAGGTAGGCCTGTAGTGCTATGAACTTCCCTCTCAGAACTGCATTCGCTGCATCCCATAGATTTTGTGTTGTTGTGTGTTCATTTTCATTGGTTTCCAGAAAGTTTTTAATTTCTTCCGTGATCTCCTCGGTGACCCATTCATTGTTTAATAACATGCTATTTAGCCTCCATGTGTTGAAATGTCTTTGCATGTTCTTGTTGCAATTGATCTCTAGTTTCATGCCATTGTGATCTGAGAAGATGCTTGATATGATTTCAATCTTCTTGAACTTATAGAGATTTAGTTTGTGTCCTATCATGTGGTCTATCTTTGAGAATGTCCCATGTACACTTGAGAAGAATGTGTATTCTGTAGTTTTGGGGTGTAATTCTCTGTAGATATCTATTAAATCCATTTGGTCTAGTGCTTCATTTAGAGTCTCTGTTTCCTTGCTAACTTTTTGCCTAGAGGATCTATCCAGTGCTGTAATCGGAGTGTTGAAGTCCCCTGCTATGATTGTATTGTTGTCGATTTCTCCTTGGAAGTCCTCCAGAAGATTTTTAATATATTTTGGTGCTTCTATATTGGGTGCATATATGTTTATCAAGGTTATATCTTCCTGTTGGATAGATCCTTTCAATATTATGTAGTGGCCGTCTTTGTCTCTAGTTATGGTCTTCATTTTGAAATCTATTTTATCAGATATGAGAATTGCTACCCCAGCTTTTTTTTTTTTTTGCTGTCCATTTGCTTGGAAAATTTTTTCCCATCCTTTCACTTTCAACCTATGTGAGTCTTTTGTTGAGAGGTGGGTCTCTTATAAACAACATATAGATGAGTCATGCTTTCTTATCCAATCAGCTACTCTGTGTCTTTTTATGGGAGCATTCAATCCATTTACGTTTAAGGTGATTATTGATATGTACTTATTTATTGCCATTTTTGTTTAGTGTGGTTCTATTTTTCTTCCCATTTCTACTGCTAATTACAGCAGTCCTTTTAACATTTCTTGCAGTGCTGGTTTGGTGCTAATGTATTCCCTTAGCCTTTTTTTGTCTGGGGAGCTCTTTATTTGATCTTCTATTTTGAATGATAGCCTTGCTGGGTAGAGTAGTCTTGGATTCAGATTCTTGTTTTTCATGACTTTGATTACTTCATGCCATTCTCTTCTGGCCTGTAATGTTTCTTGTGAGAAGTCAGCTGAGAGCCTTATGGGGTTCCCTTTGTAGGTAACCTGTTGCTTATCTCTTGCTGCTTTTAGGATTCTCTCATTGTCTTTAATTTGTGGCATTTTAATTACTATGTGTCTTGGTGTGGGCCTGTTTGGGTTCTTCTTACTTGGGACTCTCCATGCTTCTTGAACTGGAATGCCTTTTTCCTTCACCAAATTAGGGAAGTTTTCTCTCACTATTTTTTTGAATATATTCTCTATCCCTTGCTCATTTTCTTCTTCTTCAGGGACTCCTATGATGCGAATATTATTACGTTTCCAGTTGTCCCATAGTTCTCTTAAGCTGTCTTCCTGTTTTTTTAATCGTTTTTTCCTTTTGTTTTTCTGATTGGTTGATTTTTTCTACCCTGTCTTCTAATTCACTGATCCAGTCCTCAGATTCCTCTACTCTGCTTTTTAAACCTTCCAATGTGTTTTTCATTTCTGATATGTCATTTTTTATCTCTTCTTGTTGCTTTTTAATTTCCAATTGGCTTATTTTCTGTGTCTCTATGTCCTTACTCATGCTGTTCAGCTTCCTCAAGATCATGGCTCTGAATTCTAGCTCTGTTAACATGCCTAATTGCTCCACATTGATCTCATCTTCGGTGGAGGTCTCTTGCTCTTTCATTTGGCTTCTGTTTCTGTGTTTCACCATTTTGGCTATCACTGTGGGCTTTGGAGCCTGTCAAGTTTTCCCTGTGGGTGTTGGTGTTCTGCTGTTTGTGGCTCCCTCTCCTGTGTTTAGATGAGCGAGGGAGGACCCACGTTGAACACCACTGTCAAGTCTTACTTTCCTGGTTAAAGTTGCCAGCCCAGGAAAGGTACTGTTATCCTCTAGCTTTTTGCCTGGAGGCTAGCAGTCTAGGTTACTTGATGAGTTTTGGGTTTTCAGTTGATTGAAAAGCTCCCTCAGGTGCTCAGCACAAGGGGCTTTCATGAGGGTGGGGCAGATGCTGGTCGTTAGTGAGCCTCAATTAGCACTTCAATGGCCCACAGGGTGGGGTTGGATCTCCGTGGGAGGGGCTGCTGCCTCTCTCAGAGCCCTGGGAAGGAGCAATGTGGCCAACGTCCTGAATGGCTGCACTCAGCCAAAGCTCTGAGAGCCCTCCAGATCCTGAGTGTCCTGACACAGCTCCAGTCCAGTCTGCCCTCCCTCTGCCGGAGCCCAAGGTGAGTGGCTGTGGCTGTTTCAGCCTCTGTCCCGGCTGCGCTGTGGAGCCGCCTGGGAGTGTAACCCGAGGGCGCTGCTCCCAGCTAAGGCCACTGCCGAGCTGCCGACCGAGGGCTCCCAGCCCCGTCTCGCGCCTTCGCAAGGCTACCGGGATGGAGTTAGTGTCCCTCATTATATGGTCCTCCAGGCTGCTTTTCTGTTGCTTTTTCCCGTCGATATGTCTGTGTTATAGTTGTAATTCCAGTTTGGTTCTGGGAGACGGTCTGTGTAGCTTCCGTTCACTCCGCCGCCATTTTTTCCTCTAAACTCTGATTTAAAAATAAGGTGAAGGATAAATTAATAAATGATTACTTATGATCTTTCTAATTTCTTTTATTTTTAAACAGTTGATAGAATATTATATTAGTTTCAGTTGTAAACCTTGTGATTAGACATTTATATGACTTAGAAAGTGATCACCTCAAATCTAGCCCCTGTCTGATAACATACAAAGTTATTTCAATATTACTGATTATTACCTGTGCTATACTTTATTTACATTTCAATTTGTAGTTCTTAATTCCTTCACCTTATTCACCTTTTCTGCAACCTCCAACCCCCAATCTGGCAACCATCGAAATGTTCTCTGTATCTATGAGTCTGTTTCTGTTCTGCTTGTTCGTTTGTTTTTAGATTCCACCTATAAAAGAAATTATCTGGCATTTGTCTTTCTCTGTCCGACTTATTTCACTCAGCATACTACTTTCTAGGTCCATATGTGTTGTTGATCATAGCAAGATTTCTTTTCTTATTTTTATGGCTCAGTCATATTTCATTGTATATATGCACTGATTCTTCTTTATCCATTTATCTATTGATGGACACTTAGGTTGCTTCCATATCTTGGCTATTGTAATAATTTTGCAACAAACATATGGATGTGTATGTCTTCTTGATTTAGTGTTTTGAGTTTCTTCAGATAAATATCCAGAAGTGAAATTGCTGAGTCCTTCTTTGTCTTTTGTTATAGTCTGTGTTTTAGTCTATTTTGTCTAGTATAAGTATTGCTACCCTAGCTTTTTTGTTTTCATTTTCATGAACATTTCATTCCTTTACTTTCAGTCTTGTGTGTATCTTTCAATCTGAAGTGAATCTCTTATAGACAGAATATATAAGGGTCTTGTTTTTCTGTTTTGTTTTTAATTTTTTTTTCTATCACTATTTATCCCCCCATAACCTCTTCCACCTCCACACACCCCCATCTTCCCACAATCACCATGCTTGTCTGTAATAGAGTCTGGTTTTGTTACATTTGGCCACTGTATGCGTTTGAGTGGAGCACTCAATCCATTATTTATTGCCATTTTAACAATACTTTCTTTTTCTCCTCCTCCTCCTCTTTCCCTTTCTTCCTCCTCCCCCTTTTCCCCTTTTCCTCCTCCTCCTCCTCTTCCTTCTTTTTCATTCCTGAAAGCACTGCAATACCAGATCAATGTACAGAGTGGATGGCGCAAGCTTCTATTTCATCTCCCTGTTCCAAAAACACATTTAATATAATGTCCTCAGATAAAGGACCTATCAGATATTAAACTGATAAGACAGATACTGCAGTTGATCTTAGCCAAAATGCTGGGAAGCATTTTTCTTCTCTTTGAAGAAGACCCTTTAACATTTCATGTAATACTTGTTTGGTAGCAATGAACTTCTTTAGCTTTGTCATATCTGGGAAGCACTTCATCTGTCCTTTGAGTCTAAATTATAGCTCTGCTGGGTAGAGTAATCTTGGTTGTAGGTCCCTGCTTTTTATCAATTTGAATATTTCTTACCAAACCCTTCTGATAGACAAAGTTTCTGTTGAGAAATCAGCTGACAATCTTATGGAGCTCCCTTGTACGTAACTAACTGTCTTTCTCTTGATGCTTTAAAGATTTTTCTCCTTGTCTTTAACCTTTGACATTTTAATTATGATGTGTCTTTGGGTGGACCTCTTTGCATTCGTCTTGTTTGGGACTCTGCGTTTCCTGGACTTATTAGTCTGTTTCCTTCACCAGGTTAGGGAAGTTTTCTGTCATTATTTTTTCAAATAGGTTTTCAATTTTGTGCTCTCTGTCTTCTTCTGGCACCCCCATAATGCAAATATTGGTATGCTTAATGTTGTCCCAGAGGCTCCTTAATCTATCCTAATTATTTTGAATTCTCTTTTTCTTTTTGCTGTTCTGATAAAGTGTTCTCTGCTTTCTTCTCTTCCAAATTGCTGATTTGATCTTCTGCTTTATCTGCTCTACTGTTGATTCCCTATAATGTATTCTTCTGTCAGGTAGTGTATTCTTTATTTCTGCCTGGTTCTACTTTATGTTTCCTATCTCCATTTTTATGTTTCACATCTCTTTATTGAAGGTCTTACTAAGATCATCTACTCTTTCCCTAAGTTCATTGAGCATCCTTATGACCAGTGTTTTGAACTCTGCATCTAGTAGATTGTTTCTTTCCATTTTATTTAGTTCTCTTCTGTAGTTGTGTTCTGTTCTTTCATTTGGGACATACATCTTTGTCTCCTCATTTTGGCTGCCTCCCTCTATTTGTTTCTATGTATTACGTATGGCTGCTATATCTCCCAGTCTTGGTAGAGTGGCCTTATATAATAGGTGTGCTACAAGTCCCAGTGGCACAGCCTCCCCAGTCACCCAAGCTGAGCACCTCAAGTATGCCCCACACCTCTTGTAGGCTGTGTGCACACTCATGTTGCAGTTGAGCCTTGATTGCTTTGGCTTGGGATTTATCTCCAAGCCAACCAGCTTGGAGGACTGGCCATGACCATGTTTGTGCATCTGATGTACAGGGTCTGACCCCATGGAGCAGAACTAACTTCAGTGGGGCTCAGGTACTCGCTGAATCTACCCCTTGAGTGTGTTGCATGTACAGGTGGTTGGGTCTGAAGCTGTTCACTGGGTGTGCTGGCTCTGGGGCCTCCTGGGAGCTGCAGATCAAAATTTTCCATAACCTGTGCCCTTCCCAGGACAACCCAGTATGAACTATAAAGCGCTCTATAGATGGCTGCTAACTGTGCTGGGCTTAAAGATGTTCAGGAGAGGCCAAGCTGAAAACCAACACTGGCTGCCACTAGTGCCAGGCCTGGGGCCACTTAGTGAGAGGTACAGGCTTGCTGAGACCAGATGCTGCTTATTTGAGAGATTTTAGGAAAAGTCTATCCACAGCATGAGCCAAGACAGGCCATTCATATGGAAAAGCCACTGGGAATGGCTTGAGTGGGCCCAAAAGTTGAGTAGGGCAGGGTCTCAAGGAATCACCAGGGTGGGGTGAGCAGTGTTAGCCAGGTTGATGAAGATTCAGATATGGCACCCACCTGCTGGCTCTGGGGAGTGGGGTGGGCTCAGCAAAGGAACAATGGCCTCTGCCAACACTTATATCTTGGAGAAAGCTGCCTCTCCAGCTCTCATTCTGATACCAGACAATTTAGGTGTTCCCTGTATTTCTCTGGAGCCTTTTGAGCTGCTGCTCCTGTGCTGGAGCTCAGAATGAGACAGATGGAGTAAGTCTGTGCATGGGCCCTTGAAGAGGAATGCCTGGGCTCCAGAGCCTCCGTCTCACTCAGCCACACTTCCCACTGGTTTTCCCAGCCAGAAGTTATGGGGACTTCTCTTCTCCCCACCCCTGGGCTAGGGGGTCTGGTGTGGGACTGGAACTTCTGGCTCCTGATGGGGGCTTCCACAGCCAAGATATGCCTCCCAATTTTTACCACCACACGTGGGTGTGGGACCAGCCCTTCTACACCTCTGCCCCTCCTACCAGTTTTTTTTTTTTTGTCTTTTCTTTATGTCCTTGTTATAAGACTTCTGTTCAGCTATATTTCAGGCAGTTCTGAATGATGGATGTTCTGTAGTTAGTTGTAGTTTTGATGTGGTTTGGGAGGTTTCAAGTACCATATTTACCTATGCTGCCTTCTTGACCGGAAACACATGATCTTTTTTATTGTAATTATTTTTATGAATTTGTTTTTGTTACAATGTTTCTCCTTTTCCCCCCCATTGACACCTTCCTCGCCATCCATGTTGTTTTTTTGTTTGTTTGTTTGTTTTTTTCCTAATTAAAGAAATTGTATAAGTTCCCACTAAGGTTAGCCTTGTCATAAAAAGTTCTAATTGTTCCTAAGGTAGCATCACTGAAGTCTGGCTGAGTGTCTTTCAAGGATCCTGCTCAATTTCTTGACTTTTGCCATTGTATCTCAGTACACAAGATTGGCCAGGGCTATTGGTCAGTCAGGAGTAGATGAGGGCAGGGCAGCCCAGCAGCTACGGCACAGGGACGGCCAGTTCTATATCACACATATTGTCACTTCTAAACAGTAGCTGGCAGGCGAGCTTTATAAGCATGTGTAAGGTGCTTGTGAGGGGCTCCCTGAATCCATGGAAATAATTTGAAAGGCTGGGAGTGTGGAGGAAGACCTGGATTCTTGACTTTTGCCATTGTATCTCAGTACACAAGATTGGCCAGGGCTATTGGTCCTCTATAGCCTTTGCTTGGTATTTCTGAATCTCAGCTGGAAGGGAATGGTCACTACATTTTCGAGTCACCTTTTAAGCTTCTGAGAAAAGTCAGCTAGAAATACTGTTGTAAACCGTATTAGGGAGCTGTCGGAGATATTGAAATTACGCCATACCAGAGGAAGGAAGAGCGGAACTATAATGTAATGTTTCAAATGACATTAAGATGATGTCAAGAGGTGATTTGTGGCTTTTGCTTCAGAGCAGCTTTAGCTGAGCCCCAGGAGCTGACAACTGAGAGACAGGTGTCAGATTCATGGGCGGGAAGCACCAGCTCCATAGTCATGGGAGGTAAATGCGGAAAGCAATGCCAGGGCCCACAGACCCCGTTCCTGGGGTACTTTGTTCAAACATGCACAGAACCCGGAGTGCCTGCGTGGACAATGCTGAGCATACACCAGTAACTGTGTCCAAGAGCTGACACCTTGGACAAGATGAAAATCAGATCTCTGCAGAGTGTGGATTGCTCCAGGTTTAACGATTACTCTGAAGAATAAGAAGACCATCAAAACCTGAAATGACTTCTCTGTTATCTAAATGTTCTCACCTCCTTCAAGGTTCAGCTATTACTTTAGCTTTGTGTTTTGGGGGAAAGTCATTTGGTCTTTCTGGGACTCGATTTCCTCACCCTCTAATGGAGATATAAGACTAAAACATTTCTGAGATTGTGTCCAATTCTGAAATTCTCTGAGTCTCAATTTCAAAAACTTTACCAAACATTGCAGGTCACACTATTAACACCTGTCTAGGGCTCTCAAAGCACTTACTGCCAGCAACTTGCAACTTACCATGAGGCTGATTTTTGAAATATTTGAATGTTTCACTAGATTCTTTCTCCAAAAAACTGATCAGAAACTCATTATCAGGCTCAAGTGTTTTATTTGTCCAGAGGATGTAATAGTACATGTGAAATAAATACTAATTGGGGAAATGAATAAATAAAATGTTACATTCTCTTGCATTCACACACCCTAACTATTTAAAGATCAAGAAGGAGAAATTCCTTCTGAATAGCTTGCTCCTCCTTTGTCTGATTGAGAAATGTCACTGGGTTTCCCAGGAACCAGATTCTGAGACAAAGATTAGGTGAAGAAAGCATACTAGGACGTGTTCTTGGGATTAATAGTATCTTTGGGTGAAGGGGAGGAAGTAGGACAAGCAGAGGGAGAAAGAAGATGGGCTGATGCAGTCTCCACAGAGTGGTCTGCCAGTCTCCGATGAAGACCTAGATCTGGGATGAGCCCTTAGAATAGTTGTTCTAAGTAGGGGCAAGGAGTTCCAAGGTTCATACCCTCCTCCTACCTTTCCACACAACCAGTCATCGGATTTGGGCTGTCCACCTGCAGGGGGGATGATCTTGAGCAAAGTTCTCCAAGGGCAATTCCCAGAGAGGGATGACAGTTGAGGGCCAGGAACCGAGGGGAGATGGGATTTATAATGTGAGCGCGGAGTAGATGAGGGCAGGGCAGCCCAGCAGCTACGGCACAGGGACGGCCAGTTCTATATCACACCTATCGTCACTTCTAAACAGTAGCTGGCAGGCGAGCTTTATAAGCATGTGTAAGGTGCTTGTGAGGGGCTCCCAGAATCCATGGAAATAATTTGAAAGTCTGGGAGTGTGGAGGAAGACCTGGATTCTCCCAATTATATGCTGAGTGAATCAGTGATAAACTGTTGGCGATTACTACTATTGTGATCACTATTTCCCTCGACCGGTTGTAACCTAAAAAATGAAATTGCGATAATATTGTGTTCACTTTTTTTCTAACAGTCACCTCACTCTTCTTATTTTAGATTATGATCATATAAAGCCTCAGAATTTTACGAATGGTCGTAAAGTCCTTTGTTAACACGACCCATATTCATTCTGCAATCTATCAGCAGAATGTTTATATTTATCCCTTGTGATGAACTGAATGCTCGTGTACCCCCAAAGCTCATATGTGCAAACCCTAATTCCCAATGTGATCTTATCTGGAGTGGGGACCTCTGGGAGGTGATGGGGTTTAGAGGACGCCATGGTGAGCCCCTCGTGATGAGATCATCGCCCTTACAAGGAGAGAAGGAGACATCGGAGCT